TAAGAATGCAACCAATTTCTGTGCATTGATTTTATATTCTGCAACTTTGCTGAATTCATGAATCAATTCTAGCAGTTTTTTGGTGGAATCTTTTGGGTTTCCATATAGAGTATCATGTCATCTGCGAAGAGTGAAAGTTTGACTTCCTCCTTGACTATTTGGTTGCCTTTTATTTCTTTGTGTTGTCCGATTGCAGAGGCTAAGACTTCCAAAACTACGTTGAATAGCAGTGGTGATAGTGGACATGCCTGTCTTGTTCCTGACCTTAGGGTGAAAGCTCTCAGTTTTTCCCCATTGAGGATGATATTAGCGTTGGGTCATTCACATATGGCTTTAATGATCTTGAGGTCCTTCTATCCCTACTTTCTTGAGGGTTTTTATGAAGAATGGATGTTGTATTTTTTCAAATGCTTTCTCTGCATCTATTGAGAGGATCATGTGGTTCTCATACTTTCTTTTATTGATGTGATGAATCACGTTAATTGTTTTGCAGATATTGAACCAACCCTGCATCCCAGGTATAAATCCCGCTTGGTCGTGGTGAATAATTTTTTTAATGTATTGTTGGATCCAGTTGGCTAATATCTTGTTGAGGTTTTTTCATCCATGTTCATCAGGGAAATTGGTCTATAGTTCTCCTTTTTAGTGGGGTCTCTGTCTGGTTTTGGAATCAAGGTAATGCTGACTTCATAGAGAGTTTGGAAGTTTTCCTTCCATTTCTATTTTTTGGAACAGCTTCAAGAGAATAGGTGTTAACTCTTCCTTAAATGTTTGGTAGAATTCCCCTGGAAAGCCATCTGGCCCTGGACTCTTGCTTTTTGGCATATTTTTGATTACTAATTCGATTTCCTTACTAGTTGTGGGTCTGTTCAAATTTTCTATTTCTTCCTGTTTCAGTTTTGGTAGTATATATGTTTCTAGGAATTTGTCCATTTCTTCCAGATTACCTTTTTATTGGCATATACTTGCTCATAATCTTGTCTTCTTATTGTTCTTATTTCTGTTGTGTTGGTTGTGATCTCTCCTCTTTCGTTCTTGATTTTATTTATTTGGGTCCTTTCCTTTTTCTTTTGGATCAAACTAGCTAGTGGTTTATCAATTTTGTTAATTCTTTCAAAGAACCAGCTTCTGGTTTCATTGATCTGTTCTACTGTTTTTTTTGGTTTTGATAGCATTAATTTCTGCTCTAATCTTTATTATTTCCTGTCTTCTGCTGGTTTTGGGTTTTATTTGGTGTTCTGTTTCCAGGTCTTTAAGGTGTAAGGTTAACTTGTGTATCTGAGATCTTTCTTCCTTCTTTAGGAAGGCCTGGATTGCTATATACTTTCGTCTTATGACTGCCTTTGCTGTGTCCCAGAGGTTTTGGGTTGTGGTGTTATCATTTTCATTGACTTGCATTCAGTGACATCCATATACTTTTTAATTTCCTCTTTAACTTCTTGGTTAGCCCATTCATTCTTTAGTAGGATGTTCTTCAGTCTCCAA